TGCGGGCGAACTGCGTGAGAGCCAGGGCTGCGGAGGAACGGCGTGTGAAACACAATTGGTATTAATGCGGGAGGAGCTATAAGGTCCGAGATAAATGATGACTTGCTTTTAGCCTTTTGCTCCTTTTCCATTCGAATGGGAAATGGATATTAATGGGTTGTGGGCCAGAGCCTGTTGCCGTGCGCGTATCGTGCGCGCACGGGCCGGCTCTAAACTGAGTGAGTGAGTCGTGGATAGACTCATCAGCGCTGGACATGCCTCGCTGATTACACGTACAAGTTACCACTCGCTGACTCGTTACCACTCGCGCCACTCTGCAAGCGACGAACGTTTAGTCGCAGGCTCTCGCTCTGTATCCGCCCTCTGTAAACACCTTTCGACGGCTGCCTGCGCCAGCTCAAGACGCGAGCTGGATCCACCTTTGGTAATTGCCTGGCGAGCAAGTGTTATGTTATACCGCGAGATATACGTTCGAGAGGAAGTTCAATTGACCGTTCGACGCTGGACTTTGCTAGGCCTCGCTCGCTGTTGGTTTTACTAAATGGCGCACGATGAAATTTCCCGATGGTTGTTCCCAGCTGTTTTTGTTAGTTCTAACGGGGTAGAAGACGAAGAGCCTCCGATGAGTCGAGTGTTGGTCGAGATGTTTTCTACTGAACGCGTGAGGATGCCATTAAAATTCCAACGTGAATAACCAGACGACGATAGAAGATCGAAGAATTGCTTTCGAACTCGTTGGTGCAATGGACGTCTATCATCATTGGTCGAAGACGTGCCAAACGATTCGTTGATTGTTTGTATTTCGATCGTTCGAACGATCAAGAAGTAAATGGAGGTAAAGGGCAATATTTTCCTTGCTCGGCGTATTAATTTGCTGGAAAACCGAGGGTTTCGTAAGCCGGCCGAACGTGTCATCGGATTTCGAGTGGAGGAGCTTATGGCTCATCCGGCGAGGCCCCGGAATTAGCCATCGATAGAGGACACGCCGGGCAATTACGAAAGCGCCGGCTTCATACACTCTAATTAGACCGGCACGGAAACCAATCGAACGGCTCGCGGAAAAGCGAGGACGAAAGCTGTCGTCGGCAATCCTGTTAGCGTTGGTATTAGGGTCAACCTAGTGGTGGAACTAACTGCGTCGCTCTTATCTATCCCGGTTGCTTCGATGATTTGTCGTCTTTTTATCGTCCGGCGAAACTTGCCGTGGCAGCTGTCAAGGAAATTGAAAACATACTACGTTCTACCGTGTGCGCTCTCTCTCCGCCGATAACGAAATTAATACAGTCTGGCAATTTTCACACAATTATCCGCGAGTATTCGAATGCTTTCGCAAGTGCATTTCGCACGACGTTCAAAGTTTCAGATTAAGCGGGCAGGTTAACGACGAGGAGAGCAGCCGAGGAGACGACGGAGGAATCGACGCAGGAAGCGAGAAAGGCTGGCGTGTCCACGCCGGATTCGGGGGAAGAGGGTGGCGGACTTTAGGTGTATATTAGGTGGCTACTGGTAAAGTAGGTACCCAGGCCACCGCACCAGGCGATAAGCTAATGCGTTCCGTGGCTTTAATGAGGTTGATTGGCGGCTATGGCGGGTCGCCGCTTAACCGTCCTGCTATCGCTCAGCCGAGTGTGTTCACCTCTGTGTTCGGGACCGAGCAACAGATTATTACTTACTTAAAAAGCTGTTAGCGACGGTTTCGTACCTAAACTGCCCTGTCCGTCCGGATAATACCGGGCTCGTAACATACCGGCCTACAAGATCGGTACAGCCTCGCCAGGGAACAGCGCGAATGACGCGCGTCAGATACCGCGTAATTATATATTCCTCGAGCGGACCCCCCCCTCCTCCTTCTCCTCCTCCTCTCCACCCGTCCTAACGGATAATCGTGCGTTGCTCTTCTGCGTCGTGTTAACAAGCCCCCCTGCATGATTATTCAACGCACTCCGACGATACGTTTGCGAAACCAGATCGAGAAGTCGAGGGGTTGGTTCTCGATGGGCATTCCATTTTCGAGAAAGTGAATTGTAAAGTATTTTCTTACCGACAGAGTGGACAAAATTGTAAGATACCGTGCGAAATCACTACATACAAATCGAAGTTGTGTAATTTTAATTAACATTTCCACAAATTAAACGAACAAATTTTTTAACTTAAGCAGAAGATAATGCTATTTCACTTTTATAAAGTGTCTTATAATTTTTCAATGTTCGAACAATTAATTTGCGATATCTAGACTGTTACAATTTGATAACAAGAAAGCACACAGCAATGAGTCTAGGCTCAAAGTATCTAAAGTATGAAGCTTCAGACTTTTTACAATTCCAGATTCATTTTGCACAAAAATGTTTTTGTAACGCGTCGGGTAAGTAGAGATTCTTAAATGCTATAAATTCAGACTTGAAAAATTTTTTCCACGATGAATTTGAAGACCGAAGTTTAGTCCCTTCTTTTTAAAAATAACTTGTTGCACCATTCTTTCACCAAGCTGATTATTCGATTTTAAATATACCCGAGAGTGACGAAAACTCGATGAAATCCAAGAATTTCTTGAATTTCCGTACGTGCATTGAGTAAATATTAAAAAAGGAATCGCAAGACACGACAAACCTGAGTTCATTTTAAAGATCAAAGCTTCTATTTTCAAAATCCGTTATTTTATTCTAAAATATTAGAAAATAATCTCAGAGAGAGTGAGTAAGTGGACACTTTTTCTCTAGAAAATACCATAAATTTTCGTGGTATGTATTAAAAAAATTTTTTCATAATCAAGTTGGATTTGAAAATTGAAGCCTTGCTTCTCTAATTATTTCGAGGAAACACATGTCGTATAATCTCCCTCTGCCAATTTGTTTGAATATCAAGAGAAAATGTTCAGAATCTCATCATTTTTCATCATCCAAGTTTATATTTATTATTTAAAGTTCAATAATGTATCGAGTTTTCAAAGGTTCGCTGTAAAAAGGAGGCTTCTAATCTCCAAATTCACTCTAGGTTCAATCATGAAAAAAATTTTTCAATGTTTTTCACAAACTATGACAATTTCTAGCAAAAGTATCTTCACTTAAAACCATCTCTAAAATAAAACAGAATTAATGTATTTTGAAGACAAAGATTCCAAGCTTTAAAATAAATCCAAGTTCTTTTACAATTTCTTTTTACAAAATTATTAATTCTTTCAATATTTGCTGTCCGAATATTAATAAAATTGCTGCATGCAATGTTAAAGAATTGCAAAATTTGAGGAAACCTATCTACGTTTTCTAGATGACTAATTTACAAGATTACACGTTCTGAAAAAAATTCTCGCGAAGATTAATTTTTTGTTACACGCTCAGTTCTTACTTTCACTTTTCATGATCTTTTCGAGGGCACATAAGGGAAGATTTACGGTTATTGCTCCGTTGAAATTAGAAACATTACTATCAACTGCGTTCACGCTAATTTATTCCATTTATTTCTATTTTGCGTGGCCGAGTTTCGAAGAACGAAGACGAAAGAAGAGATGAATCGGAGG